TGAAAAGTAAAAAATATGTAATAATAATAATGATGGGGATAATTAAAATAAAACGATAAGTTATGTTAATAATTGTCCGAAAAAATTTTTAAGTTCACCAACGGTCAAATCCATTAAGAAAAAAGAAAAATGGCTACCGTAAGAATAATAATTTCTACGTTTTTAAAAATATTTTTTGTTATGAAAAAAAAAAGGAAACAAAATGAGGAAATAAATTTATGAGGCTAAAAAAATGTGTGTGAAAGACAAGGACATAAAATTACTTACCCACCTGAAATAATAATAATAATAATAATAATAAGAGAGGTGGGAAAGGAGGATATCAGGTTTTTTTTTTTTTTTTACAATTCAAAATTTTTTGATAAGAATCGTTTTTTTTTTTTTTTTAAATGACCGTCAAAATGTTTTAGTTTTTTCTTTTTTTGGGGGGGGAATAATGAAACCTGAAGAAAAATTTAAAATTTTCTTTGAGGGGGGGGGGCTGTGGGAGGAATCGAATCCGTAAAGGTGAAAAGTATTTTTTGAAAATTTGGTGTTATCATCGATTAACGTACAAAAAATAAATTTTACTTGAGAAAATTGAAAAAGAAAAATTGAAAATTGTTTAAAAGAGTTTTTACAATTTTTTTTTAAAGACAACAGTAAAAGAGAGAGAGAGAGAGAGAGAGAGAGAGAGAGAGAGAGAGAGAGAGAGAGAGAGAGGATAAGAAAAACAAGTTTATCTTGCAAAAAAAAATTATTTGTTTTTAAAACGTTTTGTAAATAAATTTCCAGTTGATTCAAATAGTAATAGTGATAATAGTATTCCTAGTAATAATAATAATAATAATAATAATAATAATAATAATGATGATGATGATGATGATGATGATGATGATGAAATTATCAAATTAAAATATTAAATTTCCCCCTTTTTTTCATTTAGAAAAAATTTTCATTTTGTTTACGTAAAGGGGAAAATTTTTTTTTATTTTTTAATATCATTATTATTATTATTATTATTATTATTATTTTCAATTTAAAACGGAGCCAAATTTTTTTCTCTTAAATTTTTTGTTTTCATTTTGCAAATGGCGTTTTTCATTTCGTCAGACATTAAAAGTAAAAATAAAAAAAAATAAAAAAAAAATTAATAATTTTCATTTTCAATTTGACAACAATGGTGATGATGATTTCATAGAGGAAGAAAAAGTTTAACGTAGCGTAACGTAAAAAAGAAAAATTTTTTGTTTTATCCCCCCTCTCTCTCTTTCTCTATGCGTGAGTGCGTGAGTGCGTGTGTTTATCTGGTTTAACTCGTTCCTTATATATATTTTACTGATGGCAAACAAGAATTTTTTTTTTTTTTTTTTAACCGACGAAACGTAATTAATTACCATTTGTTTCATTATTATTATTATTATTATTATTATTATTATTATTATTATTATTATTATTATTATTATTATTATTATTATTATTATTATTATTATTATTATTTGATTACAGAGAAATTAAAAAAAAAAAAAAATAAGGAAAGGAAAAAAAAAAGGGAATATTCCAGAATGTGAAAATAAAAATTCAATGGATTGGCTCACCGAAAGCAATTCAGGAGAAGAATATGTCGACAATTGTACGTACAGCCTTTCATCTTTGGATTTCCTTCCAAAATACAATTCGAATGATATTCCAAATTTGGAAATTCAATGGCCGTGTGAAGTGAGAACTTATTGGGTTCAAATAAGTCCGTTTGTGTCGACGGTTAAATTTTTACTCACTTACGTCACTCTCGTTATCATTATCATCGGTAAGACGAGATTATCGTCATATCTTTATGAAAAATATAAAATTTACCGCCATTTTGTTTTTAACGTTTTCGTTTTCAACAATGTTACCAACTCACAGTTGGCAACATTGTTGTTGTTGTTGTTTACATTTGTTATTTTGTATTACAACCCCCGGTTTTTTTCATGAGTAAAAGAATTTTAATTAATTTAATTATAGAAAAAAAAATTTTTCTCTCTCTCTCTCTTTTGATTTACTCTCTCTCTCTCTTTCTCTCTATCTGTATCTTAACAATTTATTTTTTACGATTAAAGATTAAATACCGATTAATTTTACTTTCCGTTTAATAAAAAAAAATAAAATAAAAATTTTATTGACCCTTTTACTATTTAAATAAGCGATGATAACCTTAAGTAATTATTATTAAAATGATAAGAAATAATTTTTACTGATAACGTTTCATTCATTAATCTACTACTACTATTACTACAACTACTTTTACTAAATAAAAAAATTTTTCTTTTCTAGAAAATTCGAGAAATAATAAAAATTTCAATTTTTTTTTTCATTTTTTTCCTCCATTAATGTCATTTGCGTGTAATTATCAATACCGGAAAACAACCTGAACAACCTTAAATATATATATATATACATTTGCAAAATTACGTCGTCTGAATTGCTTTAATTAATAATAATAATAATAATAATAATAATAATAATAATAATAATAATAATAATAATAATAATAATAATAATAATAATTTTATAAATAAAAATATTCGATTGAATAAATTTTAATCGATTAAATTTTCTCTTTATTTCCGGTTTTACGTATAAATTAACATTTAAAAAAAAACAAAAAAAAATGGCGTGAATTATTTTATAAACGTTTGGGGGAAACAAAACAATTAAATTGTTCTGGAAAATTCGTTGGAAAAACTAAATAAATAAATAAAATAAAAACGAGAGAGAATTTTTTAAATATAAAAAAAACAGGGCGTGTTTCTCTCTCTCTTTCTCTTTCTTCAAAATGAAAATTTTTTGTAGTTGATTGATTGATTGATTGATTGTTTGTTTGTTTGTTTGTTTGTTTGTTCCAGGGATAACGATGAACACTCTATCGTTTTTAATACTTAATTCGTCACCGATTTGTCACACGAGTTTATCAGTTTTTCTAAGGGCTTTAGCCGTATCCGATAATGGCGCACTTTTATTTAATTTTGCAACTGGAGTGGGAAGAAGTCACGTTCCGATATTTGCCAAATTATATTTGGTAAGTAAAAGAGAAAACCCCCATTCCGCCTTTCCCCCCAGTTTCCCCCAAATCCTCATATTATATTATGAAAAATGTCGTCGTCGTCGTGATGTGTCGAATAAATGTAATTGGGTCATGATATTCGGGCGGGAGTCCATTTTTTTTTTTTTTTTTCGATTTGACATCGTGTAATTAGACAGAAAAAAGAAAATCGATCAGGTTTTCAACCTTTAATAATATTTATTCATTGCCACGAAAATGATGCATTTTTAGTTTTTTTTTATCCAATTTTTGTTGACGTAAAGGCTAAAATTTGACCGATTTTTTTTTTTTTTTTTCATTGGTCTCACGGGGTCACACACGTTTCACCTAAAAAAAATTTTAAATGTCAAATTTTTAAAAATATTTCATTATTATTATTATTATTATTATTGTTTTTAATTTAACGGAAACCAGTATTTAAAAAAAAAAAACTAGTTTTTTTTTTTCTTCTGCTTTTTCCTCTATTTTGTAATAATTGTAAACCGTTTGTAAAAAAAATTTTATTTATTTATTTATTTATTCATTCACGGATTTTATTTCTCGAATTTAATTTAAAAAAAAAAAAAAATCAGGTTAAAATGGCGCGGAAAATTAAAAAAGAAAAAAAAAAGAAAAATTTTTTTTTTTAATATAAAAAACATTAATAATGCAAATTTTCTTGTTCGTTCGTTCGTTCGTTACAAATAAAAAAAAAAAAAAATGTTTTTACCTACGTCATCGTATTTAACATTTTTTTTTACGTAATGACGTCAGAGACGGGGGAAGGAAATGGGATGGAGAGGAAGAGGAGAAAAAAAATTTCCCGCGGAAAATTTGTAATAAAAAATCGTGCGTAGGCGTCGGATATGAATGTTCGAAAGTTGTTTATAACATTCATTTCGTGTTTAAATGTTTCTTTATTATTATCATCATCATCATTATTATCATTATTATTACTACTTTGAATTTTATGCAAGATGGCACAAGTTAGGAAAAAGTTTTTGTGTTTGTGTTCGAAATTTTTCCCGAGCAATCATTCCAGGTTTTCACTCGTATATCATCATCATTATTAATAATTAATTGTGACGTCATTTTAACGGATTTTTTTTTTTACTCGTTTAAACTTGATGATGAACGAATAATCGAACGAGTTTGTAATTTTTCTTTTCTTTTCAAAATATAAAATTTTCTTGTGAGAGAGAGAGAGAACGACGGTTAAATTGACTACGTTAGTCAAATAAAAAATAAAAAATAAAAAATAAAAAAAATCAAACGACCGGAAACAGGTAGATTCGTTACGATGGCGTTACTAACGTCATGACATAGTCTGTTATATAAAATTATATTATACTTTTTTTTTATTGAAAAATAAAATAAAAATAATAAAAACAAACAAACAAACAAACAAACAAACGAACGAACAACAATGTCTAAACGACAAATAAAAAATTTTCCTCTTTTTTTTTTTTTATTATTTTTATTTTTATATTTTTTCTCTCGAATGATTTTCAAAATGGCGCCTGAAATACGAAAGAAAAAAGAGCGAGAGAGAGAGAGAGAGAGAGAGAGAAAATTTTTATGAAATACGAAAGGGATAATAAAATGAAATCGACCGTTTTCCCGCCAAAAAAAAAAATGATAATGTTAACGATAATAATAATAATAATTTGTTTTACAGGAAAGCGTTTGGCTATGCGGTGCAAACAAAATTCTAATAGACGTTTTCCTTTTCTACTCAACGTGGTTGGTCGTGGGATTAACGGTCAAAAGACTTCTCGTTATCGGTTGCCCGATGAAATTTTCATTTAAATGTTCCGTTAAAAAAGCCAAAAGAGTCGTTTATTCAATCGGATTGACATCTTTTTCAATTGCTTGCCTCAAGCTCAAGTATTCCGGTAGGTACGTTCAGTTTTTCTTTTATTTATTTTGTAAAAAAAAAAAATTTTCTTCGAGTCGGCGGTGAGAAAACAAAAACAAACATTTAAACGATTTTTCTCCCCATCGTCATCGTTAAAAGAAAAATTAAAAAAAAAAATCGTTTACATCCCGCCATTTTGAATTTTCATCATTTATCATTATTATTATTATTATTATTATCCCTTTCGTTTGTTAGAATGAATTCGTTTAATAATAATGATAATAATTTCCGATCGTAAATCCTTATTTTCCGTTTTCTTTTTGTCAACATTAATCCTTCAGACGTTAGTGTTTAAGTTAATAGTTGTTGCCTTAGGGCCTCTCCTTTTTTATTCGACAAGGTCAGATTAATAAAAGAAAGAGAGAGAGAAAGAGAGAGAGAGAGAGATTTTCAGGGAGGAGAGTATTTATAAAAACGTAATATTTTCTTTTTTCTTTTTAGGTTACGAACAAGACAGCACGTTCGGATTTAAACCCTGTAAATTTCAATCGGAAGGTGTTGATAACAAGGTTGTTTATGTTTACATAGCGTTATCAACATGGTTGCCATGTTTGTTGATATTCATTGGTAACATATTGTTAATACGTCAGGTACGAATGACGAACAAATCGAGATTTAAATTAAGCGGTAAGTTTTCCCCCCGGTTTTCCACGATTTCGAAACAATTTCCCGACTCACAAACTATAATAACATCAAAAGTTTTTATTTTTTTTTTTTGCTCTTTTTCTTCCCCCCCCCGGAAAAAACAAAAAAGCCGACAAAAGAGCAGTGAAAAGATTTAACGACACACACAGAATGTTGGGTCTTTTGATAACCGTGTCAATAACCACCCTCGTACTCATGCTACCCTTGGGTATCGTCGAAACTTTCGAACTTTATTGGGATGTAGTTCTTATAAAAAAACCAACGGCTCAAGATCCGGGACGACAACAATATATTAAATGGTAAGTAGTAATGGATTTTTCATTTACCGGAAACGGAAATAATCGAGGTAATTATCGATTATCGAATTCGGAAATGAAAGTTGTTGGAAAATCGAAGGTTTTTATTTTTGTCACCGATTAAAAATAATTTACACCGAATCTGTGAACCGTAATGACGTGTCATTAATATCGACATTTTTCTTTTTTTTTGTTGGGGGGGGGGCGGAGTACAGGCAGCAAGAAAAACTCCTTCTCAAATGGGTTAGAGGTTTGTTTTTTTCCATTTATCAATGGGCATTTTCAACGAATTTTTTTTTATACTGCCTAACCGGACGTAAATTTCGAAGCGCGGCAAGAAATTACTTTAAAAATTGTTTTCAAACGCCATGTTGTTGTCGAACGTTTGTATCCACGTCGATAACGAGAATAAGATATCAATTGTCAAAGCTAACAAGATCAAACGCTACAACATCCACGGATATTGAAATGGAATCTCAAAATAATAATAGAATAACACACAATTCACCGGAAATGGGAGGAAAAGATGAAGAAAAAACATCGTGAAACCATGATAATAATAATAATGATAATAGTAAGAAGAAGAAGAGAAAAAGCTTTGTTGCTAGTCATTAGAAAAAAACCTCGGATTACATATTTTTTTTGTTTTTGTTTTCTATACATAACGTACATAACTCTATCGTATTTATTTATTATTATTATTATTATTAAAATTTGTTTATGTGTAACGCGCAATAAATTTATAATAATAATAATAATATCCATTATTTATTATAACGTTATTTAAATAAATAAATAAATTGTTATTATTTAATATTATTATTATTATTATTATTATTACAATTATTATGATTATCATCATCATCACATAAAATTTTTTTTTTTTGTAATTAAAAAAAGAAATAATAATAATAATAAACGATTAATTTTTTTCTTTTGTTATTCGTTAAGCGATAAGTAAAATTTTAAAAAAAAGTGTTGCCAACTTAAATTTTCCTTTTTTTTTTTTGTTTTTTGTAAAACTGCGACAATTTTACCGGCGTAAGAAAATTATATACAAACAAATAATAAGTATTATCGTTATTATTATTAATCGAATCGAAATAAATGAATGACGATGATGACGTCACAATCAATAATATTTATTGGATTTGATTTAGAAAAAGGGGGAAAAAAGGGGGGAAAAAGGGGAAGAAGAAGAAGAAGAAGAAAAAAGATTTCGATTTTTTTTTTTTGGTATATATATTAATCGTTCATCAATATACATAAAAAATAATTATAAAATAATGATGATAATAATAATAATAAGTATTATTTAAAAAATTTTTTTTTCTTTTCATCCTTTTTTCTCTTCCCCCTCCCTCCTTTTTTTTTGCCTTCCTCCACGATTCGAATACGAAAAACTCGAATACGAATTTGATAAATATTATTATTATTATTATTATTTAAATTCCGACGAATTATTATTAAAAATTTATCAAAATAATAATGATAACGACGAAAACGATGATAATAATAGTATTATAAATGTTTTTTTAACAAACGTTCTGTGCGTGCGTGCGTGTGTGTGTGCGTTACCGTATAAACAAATTTTAAATGAATAATTAAGGCAAAAAAAAGAAAACAAAACAAACAAAGAAAGAAAGTAATAAAAAAAAAAAAAAAAAAAATTGTTTACGAAAAAATTAAATAAACGGTGTTAGGAAACGTGTCGTTTTTAACACGTTCGGTATCAGGTTAAAAGAGAGAGAGAGAGAGAGAGAGAGAGAGAGAGGAAAAAAATGGCGCAATCAACTTAAATTTCGGGTTATTGAAACCTAATTAGAACTAAATAATAATAATAATAATAATAATAATAATGGTAAACAAAATTTCCGATAATAATTGAAAAGTAATTAAATTAATTATGACCAAATCATCGTTTTCTAATTTCCTTTTTTTTTTTTTTTGTTGTTGTTTTATCAATTTAATAAAAAAAAAAATTTGCCGACATTTCTAAAAAAATTAAACGTCGTCTGCTACGATTAATTAATTTCTTTTTTTTTTTTTTAATAGTTTATTATTTTAAAAAAATTTAAGGCACATTTATTAATCAAATCTCCACGATTTAAAAATATAAATAAATAAATAAATAAATAAACGAACGTGACCCGAAAATAAAATTTTTTTGTTTACGTTTTCCGTTATTTATCTGTTTATTTTCTCTATGGAATTTTTTTTCCCGATTTATTCGAACTGTGAAAAGTGGAAGGAGGTAAAGAGAAAGAGAGAGAGAGAGAGTGTGTGTGGGCGGGGAGGGAAAGAAATTTAAAATTTGCAACGAATTTAATTGAACGGTATAATTAACACCGTTCGTTCATCATCGGCAATTTTCGGTGATTTTCGATCATTTTCATTTTACTCCCCACATTATTTTTTTTTTTAAATTCGCGGTTTATTCATTTGTTGTATTTAATTGAAAAAAAAAAAGGAAAACAATAATAATAATAATAATAATAATAATAATAATAATAATAATAATAATAATAATAATAATAATAATAATAATATTAAAAAAATAACGATAATTATTTTCCTTTCGTGACTTTAGACTAAAACGCAAAAGGCAGACAGATAAAGAGAGAGAGAGAGAGAGAGAGAGAAAGATGGTTTATGAATTAACAACAAATACTAATTGCTTTTTCTTTCGTGTAAAATTTTCCCATTTTTCAAGGCGAAAAAAAAAAACAAAAATATGAAAATGTCGCCAATTGATAAAAAAAAAAAAAAAAAAAAAAACAATTTTTAACCGCGTTAAGTGATTTTCCAATTGTGAAATTCTCGTACCTTCGTACCTACTGAAATTTCAACCGAATCATTTAAAAAAAAAAAAAAAAACCTTGGAATTAAATTTCAATTTTTTTTTTTCGGGTAAAATTTTTATTAATTTTCCCACCCCTCCTCACCCTCTCCTCCGATTTTCAACCTTCTTCTCTCCTTCTCCCCCCCCCCTCTCTCTCTCCCTTTCGCTTTTCCGGATAATTTTAATTAAAAAAAAAAAAAAAGAAAATTTTACATCTTTACATTATTTGTTATTAATATTTCGAGGAGGATGATAATGATAATGATGATGATGATGATGTTTATAAAAATAATGATAACAATAATAATAATGATAATATCAACGAACTTTTCGTTGTTTTTTTTTTTTTTTTTAGCAACGTAAACTCTCGCAAATTTTACGTTTGAAATCATTCATGCGTCGTGTATCATCATCATCATCATCATCATCATCATTTTCCCGCCATTTTCATCGCTTTTCCTTTTTCCCGCAATTAATTTAATTTTCTCACTGGTAAATCTTTGGGTATTCGATCGACGAAATTCCCCGGAAATTGACCGACTTTTCCGTTACACTCTCCGTAAAGCCAATCTTGATCGATCCTGTGAGTCACTTTTATTATTGAACCTTCTTCGAACTCCAAATCGTCCCACGCTTCCGGTTGAAACGGATACAGAGCCGTGACGAATGCGTCATCCTCATCTCCCGGAGGAGGAACTCGTATTGTTATGAAATTCGCCGGAACGCTTCCCTCCCGTCCGTTTATTTCTCCCACAAGCCAATTTTCATCTATTCTCCGGACTAGATTAATGACATCATCTTTTCTAAAGCTCAAATCTCCCATTTGTTCTCCCGCATAATCGTAAAGTGCTATCCCGTGGGATCGTTGTTGTTGTTGTTGTTCTTTCTCCTCTTCCCGCCTCTCATCTTCTACAATTTTCGCCTGAAAAAAGCGAAAGACTCAATGACGCAAACATCAACTGTTTCAATTTCAGAACTTAAAATGATGACGTCATAATCTGGAATCGTGGCAGAGGAAATCGAAGGAAAAGGAAAAAAAAAAAAAAATTCGATTTGAAATTGAAAAGGTGAGAGAAAGGCTAATCCCACAGGCTTTTCCGACTCACCTTTGAACCGGTGCCGCCGATACGACCTTTTTACGGGGTGGTGGGGGGAGGGGGGCAACGGGTCATCACGCTCCGAACGCATTCATTGATCCCATTTTTAAACATCGTCAATTTTTTTTTTTTTATTCGTTTTCGTCAACCTTGAGACGTGACTACTAAGAATTCGATCGATTCCAATTTTTTTCTTTCATTCAATGATTCGAAGAAGGAAAAAATTAAAACGATTTAACGTATTTTTTCTCTCTCTCTCTCTCTCTTCCTCTCTATCAAAAGTGGGCGGTCACGACCACGACGACATTTTCCTTCTCCGCGTACCGTTCGTGACAGTCACGACGAACAGACGGTAAAAAGACCTTCGAACCTTTTGCGTAAGACCATCATCGCCCCTCATCGTCATCGTCATTCGATCTCGCATTTTCCCGGATAAAAAAGGCGTACGAAAGAGGAGGAACGGGATCGGATTTAATGGAAAGGGGAAGACATTACATATGATTCCCATACGACGTAACTATTGAGTCTAACGCCACGTTTATTTCCCGTGAAATAAATAAATAAATAAAACGCATCGTCTTCGAATGGTTTTAAGGAACGTTGCGTGTGCGTGTGCGTGTGTTGTGACGTCAATTGAATCGTGTTATTAGCAAATTTATTTATTTATTTAGGCTTCGGGCCATTTGAAATTGAAAAAAGTAGATTTCAAGTCTCGAATGTAAAACATGATTGCTTAGGTTGACTTTTTCCCCCTCCCCCCCCTCCCTCCTCTCCCTTCTAAACGAATGGAGGACAAATTATTTACGAATCTATTTAAATAGAAGAAGCAAACAGAAAGAAAAATCGAGAGAGAGAGAGAGAGAGAGAGAGAGAAAAATTTTTTTTTAATCATGTCCGCGTTTTATGACTTGTGACACTCGGTCTTATGATTAAGAGGTAGGTAGGTACGCGGCGGATGCACGCGTATTACACGTTTCTTACACGAATAAAATTTTGACGAAAAAAGAAAACCAATTTTTGCGATTTCACGTTCAACGTTTTTAACGAGCAACAAACAAAAAAAAAACAATAAATTGATTAGGTAACGCTACGTGCGTTCGACCGTTTGTTTATTCTACAAACAAAATGACATTTTTGTCGTAGTCATTTCGATATCTCTCTCTCTCTCTCTCTCTTTTTAATTTAATTTTGAAAATGTCAACATCAAAAAACAATAAAAAAAAAAAAAAACCCATGCCGATGAACTTAAAAAAAGAAATAAGTAAACGAAAGGTGAGAAAAAAGAAATCAAACAAGAGAGTGGCTCAACAATCGTCGGTCGAGTCGAACGGAATCAAGTCGATTAATCGTAACCGTCATTTCAAGAGTTATCGTGTCAGAAGAAAAGAAATTAGAAAGTGTAAAAATTTCCATTATTATCCCGATTACAATATCAATTATTGGCAATTTAATTTGAAAAAAAAAACAGAGAGGGAAGAGAAGAAGACATTTTTTTTTTTTGTTTGGGGTTACTGATTGGATCGAACAGAGGGGGGAAGAAGGCAAACTACCAACTACGTCATCAAACGACGTGATGATGACGACGATGACAAACTTTGACATCAAAATCAAATAAAATCTTTTGATAAACTTACCTGGATGTTGTTGAAGTCTTCGACGAGATCGCTCAGCATATCCGCTAGCGGTGGAGGAGGAGGTGGCGGACATGTCGGCATGGGCGGCGATTCCGACGACCAACTAACGTCGTTATCATCTTCCTCGAATATGGAACCATTTAAATAAGGTTTGAAATTATTACAAAAAGGCATCGCAGGAGGTGGTCGAAATGCATCATTCGCAACATTTGATTTATTCATAACTCCGCTCGATTTAACGTTTAAACTATTATTATTATTATTATTATTATTATTATTATTCACTTTCTGTTGGGTCTTGAACGCGTCAGGTTTCGACCGGATTATCGTCGGCATCGAACATACTTTATTGAGTGGTAATTTTTTCGACGAACTAGGCGACGGAAACGTAACCCACGATTTTTCGCTTGAAAAATTTTTCTGTTCCGAAATGGGTTTCGGAGGGGGAGGACTCCACGGGTCTCTCGGTTGAAACCCGTCATCTTTTTTCCTAAACGGACCGCCGCCGACGTTCGACGACGAAGAAAACAAATCGAAATCGTCTTCGAATCCGCTTTCGACGTTCGACGTGTTACCGCTAGAACCTGAACCCTGGGTCACTCCGTCACTTCCAAAACTGTTAACACTTAACGCATCACTACTCGAACGCGTCGTGAACGTTGGCGAACTTGGCGGAGAATTAAAATCTATGAGTAGCATTCCGTTGGTCCCTTTGGAATCGACGACGTTCCCATCTACCGTTGGCCTCGTTATGTGAACATCGTTTAATTTGTTATTGACATTGTTCTTTCGCTGAAATAGGCCAGCGATTAATTGACTCGGTCTGGACGGCACTACTGATTTCTTGTTTGGAAATTTAGGGGGTGGCGGTCTCGGAGGAGGTTTTTTTTTCTGCTGCGTCGGTACTATCGACTTGCTCCACGGATCCTGATTATTCCCTAAATGATTATCCCAACTGGAAGCAGATTTGGGCGGAATTTTTTGATTCACCGGTGGCGGGGGTGCCGGTCTTATTGGAACCTTCATTTCTGTAAACCAAGACAATACAAACAAATGATTTTACCGTTAATCATCGATAAATATTTAATCATTATTATTATTATTATTGTTATTGTTGAAAAAAAAAAAACTTCAACTGTCATTATTATTGTATTTATTACAAATATTTATATATACAATGTCCCTTGTTTGTTTTTCCAACGGATAAACAATCACACATTGTAACAAGATAATATAATTTCATAATAATAATAATAATAATAATAATAATAATAATTTTCTCTCATTTTATACCTTTTAATGTAATTTGAACGAACAAGTGGTTGATTGGTCGGTTGTCGGTTTTCAATATTTTATTTAAAATGATTTCATGACGTCATAATTAAAACTTTAAATGCATATGTGTCAGAAGAATCAAAAAATAATAATAATAATCACATGGATAATTGGCACATCCGCATGTTAATTACAATTTTTTTTTTTTTTTTTTGAAAGAAAAAAATAAAGAAAACTTGATTCCTTTTCATTTTACGATTTGTGCCCCCCGCCTTTGCCCCCTCTCTCCCCCCCCTTCCTCCCTCCCCACGCACCAAATCAAATTTTCATTTAAAAACAAACCGGATTTGTAAAAGATATGAATAAAATTTACTAAATAAGTAAGCGATTATATACACACAATATATTTTTGCCGCCTTGTGAAATCAATAATCAGTTACTGACAACGTTTCAGCTTCCTTTTATAATGACTGAATTACTATTACCAGACGCCATTATTCTCTACATTTCTTATCCGTTTCCGGTATATACTCTAATATCTTATTTTTCCACATAAACTCCTTCTTCTTTTTTTTTTTTTTTTTTTTTAATAAAGAATATCGGGGAATGGGTTTTTGCAAAAAACGAGTTCTATTACCATCGTAAAAGTAAAAAAAAAAAAAAAATTACAAATAAACTAAATTTTATGAAAAAGGGTCAATGTCACATAACACATATAATTCTACAACTAAAAAACACATTATCATAAAACGAAACAAGAATCTCTATAAAATAATAATAATAATAATAATAAATGTCATTTTCCCTACTATTAAAAAATATTATTATTTATTTATTTTTTTATTAATTAATTACAAACCAATCATGGTTAATGAATTGATTGATTCATTCAACAAACATAAAATTTATTAATTACAAACAATAAACATGTCGATATGGTTTTTTTTTTTTTTTTTTACAGGTAAAAATGTTAAAACTTATTAACTTTATTTAAAATCGACTTATTTAATAACTCTATTAATATGTTAGTTATTTACAATGAAATAAGAAGACAAAAAATTTATTAATTACCAATGTTAACGACAAAAAATTTTTTTTTTAAATCGAAATGAAACCTGATGTTCGTTCAATAATACACAAATATTTGTATTATAGAATTGATCACATTAATTACTGTAAAAAATTCTTTTTTTTTTTTTTTTTCCCACCATTTATTTGAATACTTTGTATTGGTACTTCACTTGTGTATGTAAAACACATTGTAAGCACTCAACAAAAAAAAAAAAATTTATCATTAAACTCAACATGTTAATACACAACACTAAAATTCTTATTATCTGTGATAATTAACTTTAATTTGAAGTCTTAATTTCTTTTGCAAAAACTTTCAAGGACAAATTCATGCTCATTTTTTTTAATATTAACTACATGTGAAGAAGGGAGACCATTTTTTTTTCATTTTCCTACTCGAAATTACAAATCGAACCAAACAATTACTAACTCGATTGTTAAATAATCCTTTCATATTGTTTTATAATTCTTTTCGTGTAGACAAAAAAAAAAAAAAAAAAGAAAATTCAAGATGTAAGCGATAATGTCTTAAAGGCATGTAAGCAATTAACAAAAAGTAAAAAAAAAAAAAATTCATTATATGAATTTGCCTCATGTGAATCGACAATTAAAAATGAAAATGCATTACAATGAAAACAAAGGCTATTTAAAAAAAAGAAAAGGAAAAGGAAAATTAGTGATGGTTTAGTATATTAATTAAGCTAAGAATAATGCAATGTCATATAATTAAATGTTATCACAAAGATATGATTTACTCAAAACCTTAAACACATTTCAAAGTCACAGGTATATTTTCTTATGTTAGAATAATTACATTCGTTTAAAAACATTCAACAAGTCGGTTTTTATTTCAACTTGGAAATTTAAAAATTTAATTTGAATTGCATCATCGAGACAAATTGAAATAAAAATAAATAATTTTTATGTTTCTGAAATTAAATTTGAATGAATTACACACACACACACACACACACACACACTTCGACAAAACTTGAATGTACAGAAATTAAATTATAAATTAATTTAACTCGATACAGAGAATAGAATGAAATGTGTTTGTGTGTGTGATATTAAACTAAATAAGATTATAAACGACGCCATAAATTGGGTAACCTAAATAAATAAATGTTTAAAATAAAATAAAAAAAAAAGTGTGAGCAAGGTTAATAAAGGTTAGAATTAAGTAAATGCGTTTTTTTTTTTTTTTTTTCTTGTTCCCAACTGCTTCATCTTTTGTTTCCTTATTTAAAATTTATAAACACGCAATAATATTTACAACGATTTAATTAAATTAAATTCGATAAATAGAAAAAAAAAAAAAAATTACCTAATTGCTTTTTTTAACGACTAATAAATAATGTAACAAAAAATTACAATCAAAAACTCCAGGGGAACTTTCAAATTAAAACTTTTAAAAAAAATTTTTTTGAAATAATAATGATGATTTAAACTACACACACTTATAATACCTAGGCAACAATTATTTTAACACTGACACACACGAATAAGATTGCAAAAAAAAATAAAAATAAAATAAATCACGCCAGTCCTTTGTTGACGTAATGAGTCTTATCAAATTGTTCAGGAAGAGACTTGGCATGGTTAAAAAAAAAAAATGATATTATTTCTAAACGTGGCTCTTGAAAATAATTAAATAATAATAATAATAAAAGTACTCACTCGACTGGCATGCGTTCATATTTAATAATAATAATAACTAATTAACCCCCTCCCGATATTTACAATAATAGTAAATATCAGGATACGTAAAAAACTGCGTTGGATTTCATGAACGGAACTGATGGTGGCACAAGACGAATTACCAACAACAACAACAAGCCTAAAACGAGTTTGTGAAATAATAATAATAATAACCCTGAAACACATAAATGCGTTTAATTTTTTTATATTTTAATTCTATAATATATCGAAGAAAATTGATAGTCCGCACCGAAAAAAAAGAAATTTTATTCGAATATTATTATTATTAATTAACGATAAAAATTATTAATTGATTTAATAATTAATAAAAAATATTCTTAAAAAAAAAAAAAATGCGTACGAAGCGAACTCTTACGGATAAACTATAAATTAAAATTGTTTCTTTGTTAACATAAAAATTTCGTAACGGTTTTTTTTTCCCTTCAAAAAAAAGAACGTAACGATGTGTTTTAAAATTCGAAAAAGGAAAAGGATAAATTTAAAAAACTTTTTTCCTCATCCACAAAATTTCATTAATTTAAATATGTAATAATTAATTTAAAAATTTATCCAAGATTTTCGTTAAACAACTCTCGATAGAAAAAATTTCCCTGCCACGTTCGAAATTTTCAAAACAAACAAAAAAACCGTTAAATTTAAATAATGAATCGAATTACTTTTTTAATTAATATAATTAATTTTATTTAAAAAAAAAAAAAAAAACTCCGATTGGATTTTAATAATGATCGATCATATTAGATTACATTTCCGGAAGTGTTTAATTACGTAATTTAACGATCGTCGTGACGTTGTGCAATTAAATTAAAATTTCAAAAAAACAAAAAAAAAAAAAAAAACATTCAAAAACGGACATGATGCGTGAATTATGACGTAATCATTTATAACGCATTCGTAATTTCCCCCCTCCCCCCCAAAAAAAAACAAAACAAAAAGATAATTTATTTTAAAAAAAAGTGAAATTTCTTTTAAACTTTTTAACAAATTGCAAAAAAAAAGAAAAAACAACCGTTAAACGTTCTTTAAAATTATTTTTTATTATAATGAAATCATTCTATTTGCAGAAATTTATTAATTTTATGGTGGAAGAAAAAGAAAAATGGCTCGTGACGTCATGGCAAATTTTCAAATTCGATTATCCACAACAACCGTGACATTTTTTTTTTTTTTTCATTTTATTTTAAACAAACAATGAAAAAGTTATTAACAAATTTGTAACTTAAAACTTTCGTTTTTTTTTTTTTTTAAATAAAAATCTCTAAAAACATTTAAATAATTACGTAATTAATATTTTAAAAACATACGATTATGATTTCATGAAACAACACACACACAATTCCCTCAAGATATATATATATATATACGTATGTCCGCCATTTTGATTTCTAAGAAAATAAATGACGTCATATTTAACAATACAAGTCGTGTCTCCGCATGTAATCACGTGACTGAAAACAATTTTTTTAATGAAATAAAATTTCAATTTATATTTTTTCACATTTGTTTTTTCATTACGACAAATTCAGGGAAGGCAAAAACCAAAAATGGATTAAATTCGGGGGAGGGGCGAGGGGGGGAGCAAGAAAACTTTCCCACCGTGACTTTCCCGGTTACGCCCTTGAGTTTTTTTTTTTTTTTGTTTTTCTTTTGCAAATTCATCGAGGTTAAAAAAAAAGAAAATCATTTGATGTTTTCAAAAGCTTTTCCATGTTTTCTCCTTTTTCATTTTTCGAATCTTTGCAGCAACAACCGCAACAACAACAACAACAAACGTGTCAAAATAATTTCACGTAATTAAATAATAATGATGATAATCATCGTCGTATTTTCACTTACCTTCATGAAAAATAATTTTTTTGAAACTCGAGCGAGGGAATAATAATAATAATAAATAATTATTTTGATTTCGTCACGTGATAGAATGATAATGATAATTAAAATAAAAACGTACAAACAAATGA